AGGAGTGGTATAACTTAGCAAAACCTTTGTGCTGCGCTGGCTCCCTAGCCTCAATTCTGTTCCTGTATTGGCCCTTTATTTTGTTTGTGTTTGCATGTGATTAAAGGAAAATGCTTTGATTATGAACCCCCCAGGCCACCTCTAAAGCCACAAAAGAATATGAGATTGTTATTAAAACCTAATAGGACTGATATGCTGACAAAGATTCCTCTCTTAGTGTTTGGCGCTTCGAGCAGTTGAGGAGCTCCATATAAAAAAAAAAAGCTTTTTTCACCAGACTATGGTCTGTACAAGCTGACTTTTATCTCCGTCAAGTAATGTTGCAGTGTCATTTGAAACACAAATTTAAAAGTAGTCTGATTGCTGTTCAGCATCCTCATCCTTTATGCTGAGTTGTAGAATTCTAAGCCAAACTGGACTCTTAAGTTATACATTTTCTGTCATATTTTTAGAGGAGAGATGTCCAACAGTATCTGAGCAGATAAACTTTGACAGTCATTTGTACAAACTAAAAAAAAGGAAAAGCTGAAGACTTATATTGATATATTGACGCGGCTTAGAATTGATTCTTTTCTCCTCCAGTTTTCCTTTCCCATCTTGTTTTTCTGAGTGTTTCTATTGCAAAAAACATTAATTTTACAAACATCAGCCCAAGGCTACTAAACACATCCAATCCATTATGCTGTGCTTTATCGTGTTATAGGGGGTAACGGGCTGTAAAGCTGTCGCGGTCATAAAGAGCGATCGCAAAGTGCCGAGTACAACCCAAACGCCCAGCTCTCCTCCAAGTGGTCCACATCCTCGTAATCATCAGAGCCGCTCTACCACATACTTAACCTTTGCAGGCCAGCCTTTCTGCATTATTTTCACAATGACCTTTAGCGTTACTTATTTCATTTCCAATAATGGCACACTAAATTTTGTTAAGCATCAGAGTGAAACATGTTTATTTTGGTGATGGAGACTGGACTGACTGAGCAGCCATAGGAAAAGTGTCACTGTAAAATAAAATAAACTTTTTTGTATATGAATTAATGCTAAAAATGTATCGTATACTTTTTTTACTATTATTATTTTGTGTCTTTTAACTGTAGTAAGTATATTACGAACTAGCAGGAAGACTTGATTCTGATACTTCAGATCATTTAAAGTTCACATCTACAACATTAGTACAATGCATTGTTCAAGAACAGACAATTTCTAAGCCACCAAGTACCAGCTCATCTCAAGCTGCAGAGGGGGTAGGGAGGAAGGATCTTAGCAAAATCGCTAATGTACGTAATGATTAAGTGTAACTCAAATACACTGTGTTGTTCGTAGGCCTGACAGCCAGTAATTTGGTGTATTATATTCTGCGGTTTTAATTGCACGGCACCAAAGTGTCGCTGTGACACGTTATGAAGCGATGATGTACAATTATTTCAGGGCGGCAGGAGATCAGCAGAGTGACATTATAATCATCTTTATAGGGATCCTACTCTTCATCTGCAACAACCATTAATGCTTAAATGGGAAAGAGAAAAAAAACATAAAAATAGTTTTCAGGAAGTCCAAACCACAATCTGCCGAGGGATTATGGAGAATCATGTTGGGGGTGTGGACAGACAATAGAGGGGTAGTGAGTTAAGTGACGGCGTTCTCTGGATAAGCAGCAGAGCTAACATGCTGCTATGTTGTGTCAGTGGCAGGCCTCACACTACTCATACAGGCCCGGGCATTAAGGCACATTACAGGGGATGAGCCACGCAGGGCGGAACTGATGGGCTATTCTGGGAACGGGCCAGACATTCTCACAAGACAGGGGGGACATAAAACCCTGTTACCAGTCAAATCACATACACAACATGCATGAGGCCCCACACACACATATATAAGTATCTGATATATGGAAAAACGTAAAGAACATACTTTATAATGCTTGCGTTAAGAAAAACTGATGAAAAACTGTGATTTTGTACTTCATTATCATGTGACACAATAAAGTCTCCTTCAGTTATAAATTACAACACAAAATGTATTACAAAAAAGTAATACAGTTCAATAATGTATACAAATGTCTATAAAGATATGCACATTAAACGATCTTAATGTGTACAATATTGCATCAAACTTAATGGGTCAGCTGGCTGGTTAAAAACTGGAACCATACTTCCACGTGCCTATTCAGGCACATCAACTACATTGCTGCCGGACCATGTCTATGGTCCAGCCTAAGCTATAAGCGGTAGCAAGCAAGCATATTTGTTTCCTGTTTTTTACTTTGTTGCTGCTATTCAATCAAATGTACGAATTAATTGTACACCTTAGGAAGAATTAATGTGCATAGAAATATTAAATAGAAAGTAGAAAGCCCAGAGTGATATGCATGTATCAAGGATAGGGTAGAATACAACAAATTGAATGAGAAAAAAAACATTATAATGCAGACTGTATATTAAACCATATACTTTTTCTAACAAGTAATAAAAAGGTGCAGTGGCAATGAAAAATGTAGGATACTCCAGAGAACTTCACTCAAACTTTTGCCAAATAGTTGTAAAGTTTTGCTTAAATTCCTGACTGGAAAAAGAGCAGCTTATGACCCATAATCATAAAAAGCTATTTCACAAGAGGACAATCCGCATCATGATAGCATTAATGCGTCGAAGGGCCCAGGCTGAGATATTAAACCAATGCCTCAAAACATTTAGAGTGTTTATGCATAATTTAACATCTAACACAGCAACTGGATGTCCACTGTATCTATGGGGAGGAGCAGGGAGTACGTGTGAAATGCTGAATCTGTGGCTATCTCCCACCGAACATGATTGAGGAGGAGAGGAGGATGCTCATTAAGTGGCCCAGGCCCCCATTGTGGACGAAACACGCCAGAAGGAGATGCAAAAAACCTGCCGTCTCAAATGCTAGAGGATTTTTTCAACCAATTAAATATGAAGAATCTTATCTTGCATGCTAACAGCCAATTTGTGTTCCTATGCAGTTTCGGGGCCTTAAGAGATTTTTATATATAGGCAAATTACGATGCATCAATCTGCTTTAAAGTGAGACAGAGGTGGGACTGAAACAACAGAGGGTGTGGGAGAGAGCAGAGAGGCAGAGACAGAAAGCCTATAAAGAGTTAGTGTGGATGAGCGAGGAGCTGACCACTACACCAGGGCTTGATTGGCAGCATGGTCAGGGGTTCTAATCTGTGCTGGCCCCGCATTTGCATTTCTTAATTAAATGCCACAACAATATGATCTTTAACAATCAACTGTAGGGGAACGAACCAAAGTGGGATGAAGATTAAGTGAGGCGGGCAGTCCGAGAGCCAGCTTAAAACATTGAGTTAGGTGTAGCTAACAAGGTAAAGATGGCACACGGAAAGCAAGGCGAGAAAAAAAATAACTTTAGAAAAACAGTAAACACATTTTTAGACAAAGTCCAAAGGTGTTTAACAATGTATAAAATAATACATTGCATAAACATAAAAGCCTCACTAACATTCTGTTAATTTGTATGATAGATGGTAATTACATTCATGGATAAAACTTAATTCTTTTAAGTGAAATGTCGCCCTGACATTAGTAACCACAGGAGAACACATACCTTAATCGTACCATAATCTCACTTTTCTAGGTCATGCAAAATAAAACAGGTAATCACATTACACCTGAAGCATGGACCTCCATTACGAACACACTTTAGATTCAGATTAAGGACATCGTCAAACGTGAAAAGTTTAGCAAAGGGATTGGGTTATATGTATAGCTCTGGCCTTAATGACTGTTTCTGGGGCTTTCTTTGTGTTTGCTGCTCTTTAGTCACAGAGAGCGATGGCCGGGTGATCAGTCAGGACTGAGGCACACACCGGGACAATTTGTCACCAGCGCACTGCTCCTCCTTTCACATGATTTGTGAAACTGGGCTTTGTATTTAGTAGTCCCATTTAAAAGGTATATTGGAGAAGTACTCTTTATGTTGCTGCATGAGAATACAGTTGGCCATTGCCCAACACATTTCCTACACGGGGGAAAAGGGGCTTTTAGCTGGAGGGCTAGAGAAACATGAGTCTTTCTTCTCATTAAGAGAAAAGCTGTGCTTAAACCAAAGCTTGTTTACTCCTGCTGTAATGTGTGCGTACATCAGTGGGAGCAAATAAACACATTCACTCTGCTCCGCTTTGGAGGAACAAAATTGTCCCACTACTGAACTAAATGGAACAGTTTACATAGAATTACACAGTGGGAGAAAGTAATAATGCTACATATGTCTTCATCTCGGTGCATGTGAAGCTGCAGAAGCTCAATGGTAAAAGACTAAATATCCCAGAATGTACATGTATTCCCCCATTGCATGTAAAACAGCTTAACATTTATTTGAACATATTGCCAGAGAGGAGGCCTACCACATGAACAACGCAAGCGCAGCACAGCATATGGTGCACACGTAGGGGGTACCAGATCCTGCCATGCAAACTCCAGGCCATGCACCATTGGATGTTTAGAGCTTTGCATTACCCGCATACATTGAATTGAATTATTTCCTATGCTAAAACTATGATTGTAGATATAAATATTTCCCTTTTGACTTTTAACTCACAAGACACTCCAAACAAGCTGCAAATGACAATCACTCCCCACATTAAAAGTTCTTCTGTTAGAGCTCATCAGGAAGAAGGAGGGCATTACCAGACAAAGTACGAGAACACTGATGGACAGGGAAGTGCAGATGCAATGTGTACGGACAGAGACGTCTTGCATAACTCATTGAACCAAGTCATGGCATTTCTGAATTGGTACAGACTTGAGACCGAGCCCTAGTTTGCTGGTAACACAAAGGCATACGTCAAATGAGTTGAATTTGTACAAAAATAAAAGCGCTGCGGGCACCAGGCTCCTATTGCTTACTGTTTAAACTACACAAAACTAGATGTAACATGCCAGAATCTTAAACCAGGCGCTTGATGTAAAAATAAATGCTCCTAATCATGTGTAAAAGATGTTGGGCTCTGAACTCACCCACAGATGTCACACTTGTATTCCCTCATGCCGAGGTGCCTCTTCACGTGATTCCTAGCGTCGCCCAGCTGAGCCGTGGCAAAGTTGCAGATCTTGCACATGAAAGGCTTGGATCCTGAAGAACAAAGTGCTGAAAGTTCATATGTTACAACTGTATTTTCATCAAACATTGCTGCAAAACAGCAGGATGAACAATTTATTCTACATTACATCATAACAAGTCCGTTGAAGACAAAATTAGCATGCCTGATTGCTTTCTTTGGCTACAGACACAATCGTTTCAAAATAAAGAAAGTCTAAAGTCTTAAGTCTCACTGAAAATTATACTTATTATACTATGTTTAGTCTATTCTTGTCACTGTCGATGCTTCTTTCCTTGTGAATGCGTAAATTGAATTTCAAAGGTCAGGGCAAATACGTAAATCAATTCTGCGTGTGCTTAGTACCTCACATTCCATCATTAAAGTACTAATCACTTGGATGGGCCGCGCCAGGACGGTTCTCGCTAATTATTGTCATTAATAATAGGGGAGGTATTTGAGTGAGTGGTAGAAACCTCTGCTTCCTATTTGTCACTTAAGAGCAGATCTGGAGACGTTGATGTCTGCTTTTTTATCCACAGAGAATATTCTGGCCAGATTTATACCCCCATGATGAAATGCGTATTCATGTCAAATGTTAGTGACACAAGTTTTCTGAGGATGGGAGCACTTTGTAGAGTAAGGGGTTAATCAAGCTTGACACCATAAATCCCAACATCCCACAAGTTTTCTGTAACTTTGTGGGATTCTAATGGCCATTTTCCATTTGACATTTCAGGTTCAGGTTGCCCTAGAGACTGGATCTTTTTCAAGAGATATAGTGAAATCAAAAAAAGATAAGGACCCTCAGGAATACTGCAGTTATAGACCCCTCTCTTTGCTGAACGCTGAAGATCTGTGTTAGAAACTTTAATCATGAGTAAAATGTATATTTGAAATGGTCCAGGTGTTGTAAAATAATCCTTCAGTAATAATGCTCACTTGTAGGAAGTGCTCCCGCCATTTCCTACTGGCAAAGGCTATAGGCAGGCATGTCCTCATAGTCCTCTTTTTTTTTGTCTCTCTCTGGAGTGCAGGCTCAAGTTATCCGTCTATAGCCCTTTACAAACAGCAAACAAGCAGCGCACACAAAGCAGAAACCGTGCTGTATCCGGATCTTCTCTGGCTCAGTATTCTTGCCATTAAAGGATAAACTTTGGGTACATTTGTAAAGTGCAAATTTGTAAAGGGTTAATCTGTAGACTGACATTAACGGCACATAACATAACGTATCTTTACACATATTAGGGCTGAAAAACAACTTAGATGCCTTTTTGTAATAAACATTGCTTATGCAATAATATTTGCATTGTATGTATTAATAGTTGTATTTTCTCTAAATTTGCTGTGGAAAATACATGGAAGTTCATTTTACAACCCTAATGAAGATGGGGTAGAGTGGGCAGCAAATGGCGAAGTGGCACGCTCTCTGCCAAAACAATTTCCAAGTGATAACTTTGTTACTCACGTGGCAATAAAAATGATTCTGATTCTGATTCTGATTCTGATTCCCCTGTGCGCGGAGGCCTTTTTGTGAGAAGTGTGCACGTTTCTCCCCGTGTCTGGGTGCTAGGGGATTCCTCTGGGCACTTCGGTTTCCCCCACCACCCTAAACATTTACCATAGGTAAAATCATCCAGCTCTGGTAGTCCTGACAAAGTTGACCATCAACAACTGGAGATGGGTGTAGAGGCAGTGCACTGCTCCTGACAGGTTGCCCTAGTGGTATTGAATAATAGGTCAACTACAGAGAACAAATTTGGCTACATTGGGGACAATAAATTGTGACTTACAATTACTAAAATGACAAATACATTTTTATGAATACATTTAAAAGTATATAACATGGTTAAAACTGTTTAAATCTGCAAACATTTGCAAATATAAATAGAGGAGAAATAATGGGTGAGCTCATACAGTCTGCAGTGCACTCAAAGCACAGATCTCTGAGAAACCTTCGTTCAAGACGTTCTGCAATATTTATTCCGGGGGCAGCCACTGATTTGATTAAGCACTTTGTGTAGATTACAAATTTGTTCATACACGGTTCACTTGCTGTGAGCTGTGAGTACGACACATCGAATTTTAAGCCAGTAACGAAGATTGAAAGGCAAGCCTATGCTAACAAGGCCCATAAACACAGGGGGCAAGGTGCTGTGGAGGGGGAGACACATGTGGGCAACAGCAGAGCATGCCCCTTTCATTTCACATGTCCCTGCTGAATACGGCACGCAGAAAACAGCTTGCAACACAAGCACGAAACCCACATAAGCAAAACACAATGACATGTAAACAGATAATAGCGGCATGTGTTGCCCATCTTCACACCTAAATGCAAAGATAATTTCACACGCACTTTAGAAAACACAAACCTTAACACTTTTATTAAAACTAAAAGTCAAGACGTATACAACACCTACTAATATTTCTATTCTGGAGCTGAAGTCACACCTTTAGATGTGTATGACTGTCTGAGACTCGACAGGGACGAAGCTACGGCGGCACAATGGTTCCCCCACAGTCGCACATAACCTGGAGTCGGAGTGAGAGTGAGGGGCACATGGGGAGCCGATCTGTCCAAACGGCTGGCTGAGGATGAGACACCGTAGAGAGGAGGGAGATGTTACGTCCCTCAGTTCTCACATCTTATCACATTAATACTCCACCACTCCACTTAAACAGCCTCCGTGAAACTGAAATTGACCATCAATGTGGTGTCATGTTAAATTAATATTGCCATCCACACAGGGGCGATGTGGCTCCCTCACAGCCCAGATGAGACAGGGAATGACTAATTCATTTCCTGAGAGGAGAGGAACCTCATGCAACATTTCACTAGACACACATTTCAGCTTGGCCTATTGCGCACACACTTGACACACTTGGAATGTGTATGAGTAAATTAAATATACACAAATAATTGTATTTATCACCGTTTTTCATCATGCTTTGCAATGGGTTTGGCAGGTTCATTCATTCACATTTGGAGAAAAGACATTCACAGTGTATTTGATGCAATGACCAGTGATTTTGTTTGTGTTTATAGCAGCAGCAAATGTATGGCAGGTTACCATTCATTTAAATGATACAGCACATTCAGCAATGCACCCTGCGTTCAAACACACTTGAGGTATTGGCCATTAGTTTGAAAGCTCAGCCTGAGGTCAGCAGCTCATCCCGTGAAAAACTGACCAATTTGGCTCAAAATGCAAATCCCAGCTGAGGTCTCATTGGCAAAACACACTTATGTGTATAGCTACTTAAAAGAAAACATGACAAATCTGAGTACACCCTCCCCCTGCCTTCTCGTGATTTCACTGATTAATCACGTGGGCAAAACTAAGTCTTAATTAAAAGAATCTGGACATGCTCCCAGTGAAGATGCTGGCAGACCCCCACTATGCCACTCAGCCTCACAAACAAACTTCAGAATAAATGACTACAACATAAAAGGTGAATAATTCACAGTAATGAGGGAATTTAGCAATAATAACCACTAGCATATGTGTCAAGAAGATAAAAAATGAATAATTTCTGCAAATAAGAACTGTGCAAATAAAAGTGAGGATACAACAAACAACATAACTCTGCTTAATAAAAACATATTACTGAGCAAGAGCAACGCCACATACTGTATATCACTTCAAGTTTAACAAAGTGCCCTTGACTTGAAGCCGTCCATTGAAACCTCAGTGTCAAAGCTTCATTTTCTTAAGTAAGACTTTCATGACCTTAAAACTCCAAAAATTACAGCACAAGGAAAAATTATGAATACATATAGACTGTTAATAAAAAAAGAAGTAGGACTAGACATTAATCATCAAGAATTTAACCTCTAAAATTGTACAGATTTATACATCTTACTTTAGCTGTAAGCAATCGAGTTTGGCACAGAAGGTGACTGGCGTGCATGTGTAAGGGGTAAAAATACAGCTTGTCCAAGTCGCACTATTTCTCGTCTTTTTACTAATTTATGTATTTTGTGTAGCACCCATGAGATTTATTAGCCTTGTGTGCCATTTTACTTGCCTGATCTTAATGCATCTCACACAAAGTCGACACAAGAATACACCAGCACTTACGCACACACACACACAAAGCCCAAGAACAAGGACAATTAAAGTCCCATTAAAGTTTGGGCTGAAAGGGGGATGGACCATGGGAGGTAAAGAAGGGCATTTATTGATGGCGCCCTCACATCTTGTTTCTGCATTAAGTTGATTTTAAAAGCAATTAATACACATGGTCAGGCGAGGAGTAATGGAGCGCCCTATGTTCTTAACCTGCTGGACATCTCCCAGCCAAAGCCCTGACCAACAGAGCCCTGCTTTGCATTATAAATGACAAGATAAATCTTAATGGATTGAGGATAATCAGCTGGCCATGAAGGCTGACATATACACACACAGTGACTACACATAGAGCGCCTCGCACACATATACAAACACCGACGTACAGACACTGGGGAAATTAAGGGCTTTGAATACGTCTGCATTGATTATTTTAAATTATTAGCCCACCTCTCTTTGGACCTCCAATGCTTTTAGCCTAAGCTTTAACACATTTACAGAGACTTATTGACTATAATTACAACTGAGTCTTAGTAATGGACACATCAATTATGAGTCGCACATGTCTCTGACCAGGCGTTGCTCAGGGAATCCCAATCTGGGGTCCATTAGCGTCTCTCCTGCAAGTCTGAAGCTCAATCAGTCTTCACCTTCACCTCTACAGAAACCGCCATTACCTGGCCCAAGTAGATATAGGACTATAACATTAAAGCTTTCTCACAGTGGGGCTCAACAATTGTGCATTAGTTGAAATATCTGAAGTCAACATAGACGTGTTATGGACATAGGCTGGAATGGTTTAAAATACATCAAATATATAAATAAAATGATACATATATTTGATTATCCATTGATTTGTAATTACAAAGAAAATGAAGTATGGGATACCTGTATGTGTTCGAATGTGGGCCAGGAAAGCCATGGAGTTTGTGCTTTTGCAGACTTTGCCACAGTATTTGCAGACGTTGCCTTTGTTCTCCTCCCTCTCGCGGTTAATCTGCTCTGTGTCTTCCAGGACATACTTGTTGACTTCTCTCAGAAGATCTTCATGTTTCTCTTTGATGTGAAGAAAGAGCTCATGTTCGTTTTCAAATCGCTCAGTGCATTTAACACATTTAAAACTGGCGCCTCCCTCTGGGAGCTCCTCCACGCTGTTCTGCTCGTTGCGTAGGTGAGCAGCGCTGGTCAAATGCTGGTGAAGGTTACTCTCACTATAGAAAGACTTGCCACAAACCAAACAGTGAAAGTGTTTCTCTTTGGTCGGGTGCTTCATTGAGATGTGGACATTGAGACCACTCATACCATCTGCAAGGAAACCACAGTCTTCGCAGCGAATACGGCCCCCAGACTCATTCCTTGTTTCCTTGGTTTTTAGCTTCTTCACAAAGATGGAATCCGCTAAATGGTTAAGTGAAGGCATTGGTGCTCCAGTCCTCAAACATATGACAGCAGCTTCCCCTTCTTGGAGCTGCTCCTGCTCTACAAGCGCCTTGTATGAAATAATGGATGCATCAAAGACATCCCTGGTCAGGTGTATGTCAAGACTGGAATTTGAATGTAACATTTCCTCTTTTACTAGATCTTCAATTTCTTCCTCAGTTTGTTTCTCTACAGAATTATTCAACGTTTCTTCTACGTCAGCCTCAATCACCTCATGCTTTATCTCAGATGATTCTGATGGAGTTTGAGAAATCACGTTAGATTCATTCACCTTGGATTCAACAGTGAACTTCTCACTTGACTCAACATCTGTTGAAACTGATTCAGTATCCATGTGTTGTGTTCCTGTGTCAGAATTCTCAACAACCAGACTAGAATCGGCGTACAGATTATCTTCGATAGCCTCACTGGGATGTTTTTCTATGGCTAGTAATGTTTTTTGCTCTTCCAATCCTTGTTGTTCCAAGTATGCTGTGCTTTTCTGTTTGTGCTTATCAGTGTTTGCGTGACGGGACATTTCTTTGTTGTTTACAGCATAGTAACTACATGCTAGACAGACATATTCAAAATCCTTGGTGTGCTTTCGCTTAACATGAAGATGAAGTGAAGGTAGCGATTGAGCAACAAAATCACAATAAATGCAAGTGGTGACAGAACTGTTGGAGTTCATTTCTTTGGGGCTGGGTTGACTTTCTTCTTCCCCGCTGATGTCTGTGGTGCTTTTAGTTGCATTTTCTGTGCTCTCAGTTGTTGGAATGGGCTCCAATACTTCCTGCTCTTCTGGGGACACAAGTTCCTCATATGGTGAAACAGATTTACCACCTTTGCTTGCAGACTCTTGTGCACGTTTGATATGTTTTTTTGTAATGCAATGGCGTTCCATATCACCTTTGGTCACACAGTTATAGCTGCAGAGGTTGCAGATGTAACCATACTCTTTGCTGTGCTTACGGCGTACATGGATACTAAGGTTAGTAGCATTAGAAACTACTAGGCCACAGTATTCACAAGTTGGTGAAGCCCCAACCTTTGGCTTAAACTTTTTCTTTCTCGGAGGCTCTTCAGTGTCATCTTCCTGGACCAACATGACTTTAGTACCCTCTGTCTCATCAGCTTTCTGGTCTCCCTCAATCGAAACAATCTCAGGGATAGCTTCGAGGATTACTCCATCTTTAGCAACTTTCTCCACACATAAATCAAACAAAGAAGACTGGGCACTAATGTCTTCTTTTTGTAGCTGCTGGTGACTTTCAGACACAAGGTGAGTCTCCATCCACTGAGTCGTGGCCGAAAAAAGGTTGCATGTTTTGCAGCGGTACCAGTCGTGATCAGGGTGTGCCTCTCGACTATGATTTTCAAGGAAAGTTGGGGTTCCCAACCGGTAATCACAGTGTTCACACTTCAGCTGGAATCTTTCCGGAGATTTTTGAGCTTCAACTGTTTCGGAGGCTTTTATTTGATCCGCATTTACGAGTTCGTCTGACTCCTCAACCACCACTTCCGCAGCTCCAATTTCTTCTTCCACATCATCAGTTTCAACTAAATAAAAACATATATTTTAAACTATTATTATGTACATACTGTAGAAAAATATGCAATGTTGCGTATTACAGCAGAGAATATACTTACATGTGTACTGTACATCTTTGGTGTGGTATCTCTTGATATGAATGTCAAGTGGCTCCTTGTCTCTGAATTCTTGGCCACAGTAATTACAAGAGTGAATGATTTTTGGCTTTGGGGTTCTCTTGCTTACGCGTCTCACTTGTGACAGTGTCTCGTCATTGCTGGTTTGTTTTTCATTTTGTGATGCACACAGCTTTGTAAAGTCAGCATCTGCCTCCATGTCATCAAAGACGTTCTTCTTGCCATGCTTTCGTCCATAGTGTATTTTTAAGGACCGAGGGCACTTGGCACAAAAGCCACATACTGTGCAAACTGCTTCATCTTTGGACGTTACAGTTTCTGATGGCTCTTCCATATTTTATCTCCAACAAAAGAAACCTTTATCATCAAAGGCTCCTATGAAAAAAGATAAGCACATTTTAAAGACGAGACACAAAAAAAAAAAATCTGTTAAGATTGGACAAAAGTACACATAATATGAAAATACAATTCGGAACAACGGGCAATGCCCGTTTTTTTCTGAAGCAATTTTTCATATTTTTCTTGTCAGGAATTTGCATAATCTTATCATTGCTTGATTTTCTATTGGGAAATGAATAATCTTGGTCAATTTTTTTGAGTGGAATTGTTATTGATTTGCTTTGGGTTTACCTTACTATTAGACTAACACCAAATAACAAAAAGTTAGCACAAAAAGTTTTTGGTTCTAATCTTTTCTATACAAATACTAAAATATCAAGAAAAATATCATCTTCTGTAAAATCCATCTAGATCCAAATAGACACCAACACATTTGTTATACAACAGGTGCTACTTTGTTTATCTTTATATAATTTTGTAAAATAAAATAACACACCTTTACATCTGTTACTTAAAAAATAATAAACATAAATTGGAAATGCGTGCTTCAATTTATTCTCCTGTTCCACCAACAATCTCCACCATTTGATCAAATAGATCAATGTCGCCATCTATTGGCGACTATAAAAAGAACAGCAGCGTCGATTGTTGAGGAATCAGGGAATTTCATATGTTTAAAATATGAATAGAAAATTATATTATATATTATATATAAAAAAAAGAATAAATACATGGCCTTTGGGTTTTTGGAGGTCCTGTGAAAACTTTAGCGGCTAATTCAGCTTAATAACAAGCACATCCATGCAAATAAAAAAAAAAACATACAGGTATCAGAAAAAAGCCAAAACAAAAAAGATGAATAAACATCGACAGACAAACCTATATTGTGTTATCTGACCTTTATTCCCCTAAAATATGGTGTATAGAATTCAATGGTAATTAGGCTTAATTGTATCTAAATATCATCTCACACCCCCCAGTTATTATAATAGATCCATGCCCCCAACTCGCAGACCCCACTTTGGGAAGTGTAGTGGAACGTAAAGATAAAGTTGAGAGTGAGCAGCACTTCCATCTAGCGGTAGAAGTAGGACATTACAGTTTTCTTTTATAGGTCGATTTTACTTTGTGTAATCTAATAATATAATATTTCCATGTATCTGATAGAAGACTTTTTAAAGGAGGTATTTGTGCAGATAATATAAAAGTAATTTGAAGGAAATATTACTAAAAAACAGCTCTCAGCGAATATGAAAACGGAGCTAAACAGATTTTCACAGTAAAATTAGAAAAGTAATACGAACTTCCTTGAACCATGTGTGTTTATCAGGGATTCAAGGGTCACTCACAGTACCACAGAACTGAAAACCAAACTAAATTGTAGAAAGTCCATGAATACACGTGTTGTGTGTGAACTAAAAAAGTTAACATTTTAATAATAAATAATACCATTTATTTATGGCGCTTTTCTGGGCACTGACGGTCACCTATTTTTGTTGTCATTTCTGTTTCGATAATTAATCCAGGTTATTCCTCTGGATTCCATGGTCATTAATAATATCAATAAGACAAAAAATAAGATTCCATTTCAACTAAACGCGGTACAGAAACAAAAGCACTGACTGTCCTTCCGTGGGGAGACAGCCATACCACTATTCACTAATAAGTGACTAAGGCAGTCCCAGTGGTCAGAAGTGACGCTAACTAAACGGCTAACACGTAATGTTGTAACCCCAGTGGGAGAGAGAAGGACGAGGATTCAGGGGGGAGGAGGGGTGAGATGACAGGCTCCGACTCCCTGACAGGTTCTGGGTGAGAGAACGAGAGAGGGAACTGCTCCAAAGTGACACAACTGGGTCTCTGTCTCAGTCACACCACCACTACTCACTGCAGGCGTCGAGGGAGGAAAAGCGCCTTTGTCTGCTGCTATCTATCTGCTTTAGGGTTAGGTATGTAGGTACACGGACACTTAACTTTCCAAATCTGATGCAGTTGACTTTTGCATAGCCCAACAACTTCAGAACATTGTCATCATAGCTTGTGTCGGCTCAGCGGTCTTTTTTAGCATACTTCTTATTTTTGCCTGAACTCCTTTTGAATTTAAGTCTAGAATGATGACTTCCAACTAAAGACAAAAAATTGTTCTTTTAATGTGTAAAAATATATGTTCAGAGCAGGGCTGTCAAAATGTTTTAGTTTTTTCATTTAGTAGGTACAGTATGTATCAACTGAAGGTAGCAGTATTATTATTTTGGTGAATTAAAATGATACAGAAAGGTTTTAAGAGAAAACGGTCTGGGTCCTAGTACGAATACAACCCAACTAAATCAGACATTGAAAATCCAATCCATGATAAAATATAGAATTATACATTTTTTTGCAAGATTTTAACTCTACCCCCTTCGGCTTAAGCACACAATTCTAAGATTTCTTTCTTTGGGGTCCATGACACCTAAACCAACACTTCAAAAACACACTTCCACCTATAGTGTTGGAAGTTTGAGTGACAGCAGTGACCTTGCCTCAATTGCTTGTAATTAGTCCTTTAAAAACAACTCTGAAAGACAACTGACCTGTCTCGCGTACCTGTTTTCTTTGGTAATTGTTAAAATGCCTCCCATTTTCACGCTTGTAATAATAAACTCCTGCAGCTAATACAGCCATCTTTTTAACGAGAGTGCTGACAGGCCCACAGAAAGATGTTTTTGTTTAAGTAGGAAAACTACTTGTAGACAGTTATAGATGGAAGGAAAGATGGTCAGGCTTTGCAAGTGCATTCAATACAGCTGTTTTTTTTTGCGTTAAATTGTTAGTATTCATCATTTAGAGGCCCCTGAATAACATGAAATACATCAAAGAAAATACAGCTGAATTCAGAAAGACAGGTAGGTTGACTCACAAAAAGAATACAAGGATATTTAAAGGCATCTATCCATGGAAACATCGGAGTAGTCCACAGAAGTGGTACACTAGCATATCTAATACTTATAAATA